TCGAATTTCTCTAAGATTCCTCCAAACAAAAGGAGGCCTAAGATGGGCTTTTCGCTGAAACAGGTTTTCTGGGTGGCTCTAGTGGTTGATTTCCCAACGCGGTCAACATATTTCCTAGGCAGTTCTGCGTCTCGCCCATAGCGAGACTTATCATGCACTCGCATCAGGCATCCCTCTAAATGGGCAAGCATAGCGTGGGAGGCCTCAGGCCAGACCTTTTTTTTTTCATGTTTTTGCTTTTCTTTTCTTTTTTATGTTTCAGAATATTTTAAATATATAGTTTTCATAAACTTTCAAAAAACGCTAATAAATAATTTGAAAATTGTAAAATGTGTATAGGCAAAATGTTTCTTATCTATACGAAAGATTTATACAACAAATATTCTATCTCAATGAAAAAAGTTAATCATGTATTTGAAAAATGTTCATCAAGTAGTTGATAAATATTAGCCAAGCATTTGAAAATTAAATTTCTTGTTGACCGGCTCATGAGAAATTTAATTTAATTAATAATGCATTGGATTTTGTTGGTTTTTTATTTTCATTTCTTATTTTCTTTCTGTTTTATTGGACTGGTTTTAATCTGTTTATTTTTTGTTCAACACATGTCAACATTTTGATTTACACATTCAACATTTGTCCTATACATCTAAAATATATTTATGCACATGTTTCATATTTTTAACATTTTTCAAAACTTGTAATGTTTATTTCTACTTTTTTGCATCTACATTGTACATTTTTTGTACATGTATCTGATTTTTTTAATAAGCGTTTGAATGCATGGTCAACATTTATCAAATACACAGTGATCATTCTTAATAGTAATAAGCATTTTTATGAGACAACAGTAACCTTTTTATATACATGTTTAACAATTTTTAAATACCAAATTAACTATTTTCCAATATATGTCTTTTGATATATACTTTTATTTAGTGTATGTTCTATACATCAGGAACTTATTTTTATACACATTTAGTTCTTTTAAAATACATGATCAACATTTTTCATACATATTATCTTGCTTTTTATACATGGCAAACATTTTTTCTATACACAGGTTACAATTTTCAAATGCTTGGTTAATATTTATCAACTGCTTGATGAACATTTTTTAAATACATGATTAACTTTTTTCATTGAGATTGAATATTTGTTGTATAAATCTTTCGTATAGATAAGAAACATTTTGTCTATACAGATTTTACAATTTTCAAATTATTTATTAGTGTTTTTTGAAAGTTTATGCAAACTATATATTTGAAATATTCTGACGCATAAAAAAAGAAAAGAAAATAAAAAACATGAAAAAAAAGGTCTGGCCTGTGGCCTCCCATGCTACGCTTGCCCATTTAGAGAGATGCCTGATGCGAGTGCATGATAGGTCTCGCTATGGGCGAGACGCAGAACTACCTAGGAAATATGTTGACCGGGCTCGGAAATCAACCACTAGGCCACCCGAAAACCTGTTTCAGCGAAGAGCCCATCTTAGGCCTCCTTTTGTTTGGAGGAATCTTAGAGAAATTCGATAGTATAGGATTTCTATAGCAAAAATAATCCTTCCCTTTGGTGTGTATGAATAGTATCATATCCCTGTGGAGGAATTCATTCTATCCACCACATTTCCTACAAAAAATAAACATTAGCGCAGACTTAATGAAGAAAAACTATAATGTGAACCAAATGACATCTCCTTTCTTATTCTTATTCGTAGGATTTAGAGATATGTGTCATCTCGTTTTCTATGACTTTCCTATTCCTATTATTTTTCTCTACTTTTTAGTCATTGCATTATTCCTATTATTTTTCTACCCTATTATAGTTTTTATAATCGGCTTCGTCATCCTCGGCAAGTAGGTAGTCATCATCTCAGATTGGCCACCATCCTATCAGTTTTGCCTAATCTTCCATGCCTCTCAAGTGTTGTCTGAATCTCGAAATTTAGCAGGATGATTTTCACCCAAAACTTTGAGATTTTGATAGCTGTTGCTTCCGTCAAACTCATCCTCTACAGTAGCTCTTGTCCATTGTTTTCCTCATCAGTGAGTTCATTGGATTTTACATTTTCTTTTGTACTCCATCTGCCACTTTTAGATCCTCCGGATCAAGACTGCAATTTTCGTGATTGGTCCTATTTTACAGATTAAGAATTGAAATATTATGTCGATATGACGAAACATTGAGTTCCTAACAACCCCCCCCCCCCTAAATTTCATGTGTTTGTATTATATTCAAGTATGTGTAACATGCACAATGATTTTCCCTTGGGTTACTAATCCACTTTCTATAATTGCGTATAAACTCCAAAGAAGGTGTTTCATCTATTCCAGTAACTTTTCATGATACATATAATTATTGTTCGGATTGTAGACATGCAAATGAAATTAAGCAAGTTGATGCTCTTTTGTGGTACATGTTTTGGAGATGGCTCCGCGCCTCCGCTACCTTCAGCACCCTGCTTCTGGTCTCGCAGTGCCTCTCAACAAAAAAGTGAGCATGCTTCCATCCTATCAAAACCGTTGTTGTGAGGTCTGCGGACCACCCCTGCATGAGACTCTTTGAATTTTGTTTCTTCATGTGTACCGACTGATTCCTTGTCTTCAGCTATTTCATATTTGCATGTATTAACGTTACTTTGCAGTTGAAGGAGTGATCAACAGAACATTGTTATGCTAACAAACTCTTTGTTGTTATGTGCTTCAGTCAGATAAACTACATGTTTCTTGAGAGATGGAAACTATACTTGATTCAAATTGACAATAGTACCTTTGCTTCAGCTAGGTAGTCGCATTTGGTGTCAATCAACGGAATTAGATGTTTCCATTTGGTTCCATCCAGGGCCAATTAGTTAGTTGTAAGTATTTCTAAATTTCAAATATGCTTTTAAAAAGTGTAGCAGATCATACGTTTGAGACGTTGGTTATCGCGTCAGTTGGTGACTTTCTTATAGTGTGTGTGGCATATACCGAGAAACATGCACAACTTCATATATGCATTATGTTTTTCTGAGATCCCTCTGTCCCATTCTTCATCAAGGCTTTGTTTCCCCTTCCCTCTTACACTTTAGGTTTGACTTTTTAGTGTTGCTCCCCTTCTTATACTATTATTTATTGTACTTTTTGTGCAATTTGCTATATCATCAACTTTGATTGCACTAAAAGTTTCTCTCCATGCATGCTAATAAGATGGTGTCACATTCTATGTTTACGGAGTGATCTATTTATTTTGTAGGCAAATAGAAATGAGTATCAGAGATAACCCTCAAAATAGAAATGGGTTTCAGAGATAAAGGTTGAGCTTTGAGGAAACAGGCCTTGACAAGGTGCATGAATATTTTGGAAAATCTAATTTAACTTTAATTTTCAATGCGATCTTGAGCATCTCCATAACTTCTGCTTACCACTTTGAGACTATTTTTCTGATTCCAGTGAAGTCTATTTAACCATTTGTTACTGACTATTATAGAATTTACACCATAACTTCAGTGTTTATGTGATTTGATTTGTTAGATAGAGGTAACCACTTGGCATGAGTCATTAGCTATCTAAAAAACAGATAAAAGAGAGGTTGTTGTGTACTAATTTATTAGGTTTAGTTACACAAGATAGATCTTTTATCGCAACTTAATCACACTTAATAGTGCACCCTATATACTTTTTCCGTTCAATTGGCCAATGAAGATTAATGTTTCATTCCCTTAGTGAAAACCTAAGTATTGTGTTCTCAGTTGTACCCTTCTTGGATACTACCAAGGGAAGGGCTCATTGTAATAAATCAAGTTGTATATCGCTTTTGGATTAATCTATGTATGAAATTGCTTCCTGATCAAATAGTATTTATTATAATAAAATTACAGGTTATGCTTTTTTGAACTGTACTTGCATTGTTTTTGCTACTTGATATCCTACTAGAACTTCCATTGCTTGCTTAAGTTTGGTGTCAGATAGTTGGAACGAAGCAGCTTTGATCTAGAAAATTTTGATAAGGTTTCATGTACATTTGATGCGGTTGATGTTACATGACCTAGCCATGATACAAGAACAAGATGATTGGATGTACAAATCAAGCGGAGCATTAGTTTTTCTTTCTTTCCCATAAGTTCTTCTCATGGTCTCATCCATTATCTTTGCCCCTCGCCTCTCCTGTTGGCAGTTGTAAGGGACGCTTTTGTCCTAAAAAATCACCGCCCCAATTGTTACTTATTTCTGCATGTACTCTATTTGACAAAATCAGATCACCTCTGCACTTTAACTAGGAATGACGTGTTCTACATCTTGGAAAGGATCTTTGTTTGTGCGCTCTACTAATTGTTGGAACAATATAACACTTACACCTCATATGATGTTTCTAATGTATGAAATTTGTAATTTCTAAGGATGGCTGTCTATTTTTTTCTGTGCGTTATATGAAGAAACATTTCCCTACCTTGTAATTTGTAAGTGATTCTTAAAGTTTGAACTCATCCTTCTTTTGTATTTGATTATTTTACGGAATTATTCCAAATAATTTTTGTGCCCACTCTTGCTATCTATTTCGACTCTTAACTTCTATGGTCCCCTAGCATCACATTATTTCTGATCAAATTTATTAAGTTCCGTTCTTTGGTGACCAAGAAACATATGGGTAAATTATTAAATTATGTTCTATGGTGACCAAAAAACATGAGGGGGTTTGGGTGGCCACGGCGCTGAGCTGGGTTTGCGAACGTAGTTACCCTGTCCCAGAGTGTGGTTGGCCCACTTCACAGGAAATCGGCGAAGTCATTCTGCAGAGTAGTGGCCTAGTTTACGTCCGGTAGCTGTCTCTCTGTAAAAAATGGGCAGGGATGGATGAAGAGGTGATCCAGGCGGTGCATGCCCAAATCGGACGGGTAGGAGGTGGAGAGGCATAGCTCCCTACGTCTTACTGTTTTGTAATTTATGAACTATATTTTTTGTGTGAGTAGTATTTATTAAATTCCATCCTAAATATAACACGATGCTAATTATAGATAGCTCCTAGTTACCATCCTTCTTGCCAGCCAAGAAGAGATTTATCAAAGCTTTGCTGACGATTGCCAGCTTCTCTAGTATTTCATTTGCCATAGCCATCGTCCCCACCACCGACGTGCTACAGACCTCGGCAGTGCAGTCCTTGATGTTGTGGTTCGTCTTCTCAATGCACTCTGGTAGCTCAGAGGGCGTCGGCCCATGCTTACCTTTGCGGCTGAAGTCCTGGATGATGTTGTGGCAGATTTGGAGTGTGTTCACCATGCCGCCATAGTCCGCCCGACACAACCTGAGGGCACGAGCTGCTACCTTATCCTTCGTGGCGATTCGGCCGCCTTGGCGAAGCATGTTGTCCACCTTGCCTACCATGGCGGCTGCATGCACCTTGAGTATGTCGACGGTGATGAGTGCAAGGTCGCGGCAGTCCTTCGCCTCGGCACTCCGGTGGTCTGATAGGAGCGTCGATGCGCAGAATTCTGGCAGGAAGCCCACCTTGAATGGCTCGCCTGAGATGTTCTTGCACGCCTCCACCACGAGGCTTGTGTTGTCCTTCTCCCCGCCACCGCTGGCGTGGGCAGCCATGGCAGAAGAAAGGAGCATGACAACGATGGTTGAGATGGCCATGGAAGCCATAGGTGTTGTTGCCGCCATACGACAGCGAGAATATACAATTTGGACAAAATAGAGAGGAAGGAGGAGATGGTTGGAGGTGTAGGTAGGTTGAGATTTATATATAGTGCATCGATATGGTGCATAAATGTAATTATCTTGGCCCCGGAAATGCTATTGATTAATGCCCATTGTATGCATATATGTACAGGTTGGATTCACTTACAATTGTAGTACTACTTAATCAGTGTGTCTTCTGCATGGATCGATTTCCAATAAAATAAAGAGCATCAATTAAAGGTATAAATAAAGTAAGATGTGATTTATTTATTGAAAAAAATCAGGTTACCAAATGTGCAGTATTATATATATATATTTTCGAGATGGGCGCAAATAATTAAATAGGTTACAATATTTTTCCGGTGCTACGCATGAACTTGCCTCTATCATGTGTCAACTAAAACTGTAAAACATGCTGTCAAAGTTTTATTTGTTTGTCATCTAAAAAACGATTTCTTAGTTTGGCAATTAAAATTTGTATTGTAATAAAATTCATGGATGCAGATGGTCTTAACTTATTTTGGAAATCTTTAAATGGACATTGTGTATGTACTGTTCACGGATTATTTCCTTCCAAACATAGTGGG